AATTGATACATCTGAGTTAAAAATGAAAATTACTTTACAGGTTATTGGAATTAAAGGATTAAGAGTAGTTGACGCATCCATTATGCCGGAGATAACATCAGGACACACAACTTTGCCAGTTTACATGATTGCCGAGAAAGCGGCAGATATGATCAAGGAGAGATGGCAACTATAAAGTCGGAATTTGTATAAGTTGTATGTGTATAAATTTTATAAATTATAAGTATGTATTGTGTTACTTTATTCTATATATTAAATAGAGTATGTATCAACTAGCGGAATAGTGTGTAAAAACGTACATTAGAAGAGTAAAAATCAATATTTAAGTACACGTGAATAAAGAAAAAAACTACGTAATATGTTGTATCAGATGTTTCTTGAAAAATATTGGTTTGTTATGAGTAAACTTTGTTTGTATGCTTTGATGGTGTTTTATGTCTCACGGATACTACTTTGATTTACAATGATGACCTTTTAAATGATCTTCTCTTCTTCTTGATCTTTCCTCTTCTCTTCTCTACTAAGGTTGCAAGCAAATTCGTAGTGCGACACCGTGCCTTTATTATACAAATCGAAGCGTAAAACTTACATAAGTTCTTGAATTATCATAAATGACTCATAAATAATGTTATTAGAAGATTATATAGAATGTCATAAAACTAATATGTAAATTTATTCTAGTGGTTCTTAAAAGTGTTCTGAGATAGAAGTCTTAATACGCGAAGGTAGCGTAGAAAGTTAGCGTAGTAGATTAAAAGTAGTTTATCAAATAGTCACTTTCTGTTAGTGTAATTTACAAAAAGTAAAATAAATGTTTTTAAGAATTGTTTTTATTTTGTATGCATGTGCAACGCATTTATTTGCTGCACTCGCATACATCATATATTGGATACTTGATACGCATCAAGTGTCAAAATACATTATAATTCTAGTATAATTATAGTATAAATGTTATTTCTTCCTATACTGAAACAAATCGAAACAAAAAATTGTTTTCCAAACATTACATTGTTTTTTATAGTAATCCTAGTTAAGCTTGGTTTTTATTTTGCACTACAGAAACTAAAGCAAATGTCCATGTGTCTGAGCGCGCGATAAATTTCAGGATTTACGACTTTTTATCGCTTATACTTTTAAAAGTCTCTCTAGTATTTATTATCCAATTTATATAATTTATTGTCTGATGTAAACAATTTTTTGTGCAATTGTTATGGCACTATTTTTTCCATAGATTATTAGACCGCCGGGATTTTATATAATGTATAATTCAAAATATCATACATAATTTCTTCATAAAGACCTATAATAATCCATATATATAACAACGTGTACATATCATATATATATATATATATTATTCAATATGTACGAGTCATTGCATATGGCGACATACCGGCAAAGAACGGAAATGAAAAATAAAAAAAGTTCTTAATTCACAAAATAAAGGTTTTTCAGGGTTTGCGTAGTGCGATTACGTTTTTTAAGTCAAAACTACGAAATTCTATATAAATTCATATATGATCATATATATGTACGTAAAAACTTTTTTTTTTAATTTTAGAAACTCGCGTTAATATACAGATGTGCACATAAGCACATAAATAAAATTTTGAAATAAATTACACATGTACACAAAACAAACAAATCACTTTATTTGATGACGTAAACGGCGTAGTTCCGGCGATCTAAAGGTTAATTAATTCGAAAAAAACAATATCTACGTAGAGTATTTATACGTGAAGATCTGTTATTGTTACAGTTTATTCGGAACGACGAAGAGAGTCAGTTAGAAGACGCTGTGCGTACGAAACGTCACCAGTAAAACAAAATGCTGCATTTCTTTCACTTCCTCAGTATTATCGCCATGACTGTTCCTATCAAGTCGAACAACGTGTTGAAGCAACAGTATATATCAGTAATTGATACTATTGCAAATCTGAATATTGGATTTCTAAAGTTTTTAAATGAAGGTCAACACATGTTAAACAAAGAGACACCGAACATGACGCCGCAGCACAACGACGTTTACGATTTTATTGTGGTTGGTGCTGGCACAGCTGGTGCCACGGTAGCTGCAAGATTAAGCGAAAATCCTGCAATTAAAGTATTGTTGATTGAAGCTGGAAGTAATGAGAACTATTTAATGGACGTTCCAGTAATAGCACCTTACTTGCAATTGAGTGACGTCAATTGGGAATATTATACAAAGCCATCGGATAAATATTGTCTCGGTATGAAGAATAACAAGTGTCAT